GAATTTATCAAAATAGAATTTATCAAAATAATATTATTATATTAATTGCTTATAGTTTCAAAGATTAGACTCATGGCATATTGTATTATGCAACGTTACATATATTGGACATGAAAAATTGTAGCCACAGTTAACAATATACATAAATTTCGTTTATTTAAACGTAAAAAGGAAGACTGAAATGTAGACTGAAATCTTATATTTAAACAGTTTATTGATAACGTACAGAATATTTTACACACTGCGATTACGTCATGTTCGACTATGTATTACTACAACGCATCATTGTAGTACTTAAACGTAGAAAAGATACAATATTGCGTGAAACCTTATATTTAAACAATTTATTTATAACATATAGAATATTTTACACGTATAGATTATATTACTTGTAGATATTATTTTAGAATAAATTTAAAGGAGAAGACTTAAGTACAAAAAGAAGATGGAACTCTATTTTTTAACTCAATTTATTTTCCAAATTACCATTAATTTTTTTACTTGAACTTCCGTTTTTTGGTTTCCTTATTGTTTATGAAAATCTAAACGTTAGGTTCAGGTTCACTCAGGGTGAGTTGCTTCAGAGGAGCATAGTCTGCTTTCCAAACGTGTTCCTTGCAATGTTCCTCAGCCTAAGTGGGGAAAAAGACGAATTATAAATGCACAATTGCATCGACTGGCATTCTTTATCACTTACTTTGCACTCCCTGGCAGTTTCATTAGTGGAACACCAGTAGACCGGACCCCAAGTGCAATGTTTTATTCTGTTCTTTTCGTAAGACCTCTTGATTCTCGAGTTCTCCAAAAAATCGATCATCGAATAATCTTCAGGGCAAACCCCTATTTTTAAGCATACTTCCTTCAGATCTTTTTTGCTCTTGACAATATGCATTATACTTTGTCCATAGGAGTTGATTAAAGATATACACTAGAAATACGAAATTACAAACGTAATGATCAAATGTAACACCAAATAATATATAAACTATAATATACAGGAGCAGAGTAAGGAGGTTCTACCGCTAATGGATTAAAAATTCAGAAGTTGATGTAAATTTACACACTCGTCAATAATACCTTCATAAAGGTACAGTCAAATTTTGGTGAGGTTTCAGAGCTCCAAAACTGAGAAATAAATTATTACACTTTTCCAATTTTTACATTGACTCTTATGGAAAGACACGTTATTTTCGTAATATCTAATGAACAAACATTGAGATTACTTTGAAAAAATTTGTAGTGATAGAGAAGTAAATAAAGAAGATATAGCTGCTTCGAAGAATGTAGTTCAGAGCTTAGAACAATTATTAAAAATAAATAAGAGAGTATGATTTTCATCGAGGATTGAACTTCAGAAGATTTGACTACGTCGTACTTCGTAGACACATGCTCGGGCATACGTTATCTCTCTCACTCAGTTCAGCAGTCAGTCACAATACAGAGTATACGTATAATGACACAGCGTGTCAAATTTTCGAATCGCACTACGAAAATCAAGCACACGCCGTTAGCTATCAGACGGCTGTACAGCTTTGACTAGCTATGTATCGGTAGAACCTCCTTAAGCGGACTAGGCGGCCGCGAAGAAGCCCTGATAATATGCATAAATGAATCTCACCATGTTCTGTTGATCATCAGGCACACGATGGCAAACTTCGGTAAGAGCGTGTTTGAGACTCTCAGGAACGTCAGCGTCGTCTAACAAGTCAGTCATCACTGACATGATCGATTTACAGACCGCGCATTCTGTCACTGAATCTATTCAAAACATGATCAATGCACATTCTTGTTATTGATACTTTACGAACGTTACACGATCGTTCTGAAATTCTGTACAACGTACCTTTCATTTCATCGACGTAAGAATTACACAGTCCCAGCATGGCGCAGACCTGCTTGGGACTGACTTCCTTGGTAAGCATGTCTATAATGATATCTGCGTATTTAGTGACGAAGTCGTTGCACTTCTTCCTTGAACCAGGCTCAGGAATAAGGTGACAGACTTCGCGAATCACGTGTTCTATCTTCTCTCTCTGCCTGTTGTTGCCCAATTCTTTATCAACGTAGCGCATCACGTAGGCGCAAATCTCACAGGGCGCGTCGCCGTAGGTCTCTGCTGAGCTGTGTCCAGGTAACAGAGTATCAGCAAGTTCGGACGAAGCTGACAAAAGAAAAACAGCAAACAATATTTCGTATCAATGTCGTATAGCAACAGCTTCGCTAAAAAATAAATTATTCCACGTCTATTTCAATTTTTCACCTTCAATTTCCTCAGAGCACAATCCCATCGCCTTGCATACTTCCTTTGGACTAGTACCCTTCGTAATGATGTCTATCACGACATCCGCGAATTTGACTATGAACTTGTCGCATTTCTTCGTAATGGAGTCGGGGAAATGTCTGCAGACTCCGTGAACCGCGTGCTCTATTTCCTTCTTGTTCCACTCGCTTCCTAATTCCATGTCAATGAAATGCATCGCGTACTCACAAATCATACAGTACTTAGGTTCATCGTGCTCTGTCGTCAGTTTCGTCAACGGGAAGTTTGGTATCTCATTGGTAACTGGAGAAAATATAATTAGTTTTATATGGAAGAAACAGAAGTGGTAGCGTAACAGAATAAATATACTCACTTATCTCGCCATTCTTAGTGAGAAATTCCCCGAACTCCTCGTGGTCTTGCCCGTCACATAATTTGATGAAAACACAAACTTCCTGTGGTGTCGCATCGGCTAATAACAGTTCGATTAGTTCCTTGCTGTAGCCCTTAACTAAATCTTTACACTCTTCGACGAGGGAGTTGGGCAGGTGAAGGCACAACTTGTCCAACTGCGTCTCGATGTTAGCCTAACGACATATAATAGTTTACTGATAATCTGAAACTGGTAAAACCTATTCTGTATCTATTTTTCTTGTTACCATCCTTACCTCGGTCTTGTTATTCTTTATAACATCGTATATTTGGGTAACGGCTAATAAACACAGCGGGCAGCTAGGTTTATGTTGCTTCTCTTCCACCAAGTATTTTTGGGGTACTTTCTTCCATAATTCCATCAACCTATCGCTTGGACACAAATGAAGCATAGGGCAAGCCTATAAATGTAAGTCTAAGGTGATTCGTTTGTTCAGCGTAACTGGATCAGTAATTAAACGATCACTGATCCACTTACCTGAGATGGATCGATTTCCTGGGCCAATATAGCTACGACCGCGTCACCGTAAGTGTCTATAAATTCGGTGCACTGACCTACAATGGACTGCGGCAATTTCTGACACACTCCGTCCAACGCCTCTTTCACTTTTTCCTAAAAATACATAATAAAACGATATGGTAAACGTTTTATTTTGTATGAAAGTTCGCGGTCTATAAATTATCTTACCTCGTTAGTGGGATCCGTGATCTGGTTTTGTACGTAGTGCAACACATATTCGCACAAAGCACAGACTTCGGTGCCTTCGACGTTCAATCCACCCTCGGAGAGCGGGAATGGAACGAGTCTCTCGATCGGTAATTGCATCGCTTCAACTTCCGAATTGCTCAACTGCTTCTCGTGATTATCATTTTTGAAAACTTTCTCTGCGCTCTGAGCCAAATTCGCAGGTAACAAAGGTGCAGTCGGTGCACTCTGGAAAGTCAACGATACGACATTCGATGATTCGTAACTCATTAAAAATTAGCAACGATTCCTGATCGAATGCAAAATGAGTTATTGATTAATCGTTTACCTGTAATTTGTTTCCTTGCCCTGGGCAAATTCCACTCATTTGGCAAACAAAATTGACATCGAGAGATTTCGTCAAGTATTCGTACATTTCTCTGTAGTACTCGTCGACTATACCAGTACACTATCATAGGAACAACGTAGAATTAATCATTAAATCGTACATTTTTCACGGTATTATTGATCATACGCACTTCCGCTGAAAACGATTTGGTCTGTTTGCAAATTCCTTTTAACACCTGTTCGAATTCTGACTCGGTTGTATTTGCGACTAACAAGTCCCTCAAATGGCCGACCAGTTGCTCACATAATTTGCAGGGGAGATCATCGTCGAGATCGACGATTCCCACTGTAGACAGTGGCCTGATGTCTACTTTCAGGGTCTAAAGAACAAACGTATTATCATTGCTAGCAGAAATATTTATCGTAGATCACAGATATTTATGCAAGATGAAATGATTATGCCAGTTAAAAAAGTGCATCCGACGTAACAGTTTCTTTTATCATTTAAAATGCTTTACTCGCGTAATTCTTTTTTATGAACGTATAAAATCGACCGCCTGGTCGTAAATACAACACCTGTTCTCCACTGTCATCTTCGTGTTTGTGATATTCACTGCTACACTGGCCAGACAAATGGCAGATTTCCTTGGCATGAAAGTCTGTCTTCAAATGCTCGTAGATAGTATTGAAATACGTCAAAACGTGGGCCGTGCAGGCATCGCTGAAAGTACCTAATTCACCGCAAACATTCAGCATTTGCTGTAACACTTTCTCTTTAGGAGTGCTCGCGAACTTGTGTTCCATGTGCGTTGCTATAACGTAGCATTTAGAGCACTCGTTGGGTTCTAACTCGTCCTTTTGCAACGAGCGAGTCTTCAAATCTTCGATCTGAAAGAAATTTAGTCACGAAATTTAGTCCTTCGACAGTATTTTTATATAATGATCGGTGCATAAATAATTCTGATCTTTGATCTAATGAACGTCCGTCAAATGATTACCTTTCCTCCTTTGCTTTCGTATTCCTCTAATAATCTGTCGATTTTCTTGGAGTTGCAAAGACCAGCAACTGAGCAAACTACAGAAGGATTCATTTGTGATGCCAGTGTCTCGACCAAGTCGGGAATATACTGATCCACGATCTTGATACACTCCTTCACTATTGGTTTGACATGAATCAATTTACAGCTTCCCTCGAACACGTTTTTCAAATCTGTTTGCGTTTCATTGCTTTCCAATTGATCTCTAGCTTGTTGGACCATGTCTTTACAGACGTCACAGACACTATCAGTATCTTCTGGCACGGTCATACTCGACCAGACCTTCTTGATGCAGTGCTTCGTCGCGTTGCATCCTGCTGCAGTTCTATAATTCCATTAAAAGTTATAATCAAATCGTAAGAGAATCATAAGAGAGAGAGTGAAATGCTATAATTAATTTAAACAAATAGAGTATAATAGAAATAAAACACGTATGCTTGTATGACTCACTTGATGTTCTCGCACCAGTAAGAAGGTCCCCAGGTGCATTCCTCTTCTCCCAAAAGGTGGACATTCGTCGCTTCTCCTGCAGTAATAATGACCCTCGCCCTGCATACTGAAAATTCAAATACTGTATCGTAATTCCTATTCAAATTTAAACAGCAATTCATTTATATTAATTTAAAAACTATAAAGTTCTCTTGATAGAAAAGAATTTAGTTGTTCGATATTAAGAATTCCATGGAATCATATAAAATTTGCCATTAATGATTCCGGCAAGTAGTGGTCATCCTTTGACTCATCTACTGTTAATGGAAATTTCTTTCTATGATGACTAACAATAATGTTATGCATGACGATTCCCCAGATAAAGATACAGTCGCATCTTATATAAAATGTATATAAAATAATATGTAATACAAGATATATAACAAACATCAGAAAGTAATCTGGGTTAAATTACAAGTGTTATCTTCTTCTTGTTGGATGAAAAATATTTGAAACACAAAATGTATTAAATCTAATTATAATAGTAATTATCTGTAATAAGCATGTATTGCCTATTCTTAAATATATAATAATGGAATTTAATTCTAAATCGTAATACAGATCTGGCTGCTTCATATGGTGTCAAAAATGAAGTAATAATAAAACGGTTCAAAGGTAGAACGAGAAAAGATAAATTAGCGTGGATTCGATAATTCTTATCGGCGGGGAACAGAAACAATAATAATTCGAAATAAAAAGACTCGTGTATCACGATTGAGAAATTACGTCGTTCTTAAAACAAAGAAACGATATGTAGTAGTATATGCACGGTAATATCTTCTGTCCTCGCCGTTAACCTTCTGATCTTTAACATATTAACGATCTACAATGTTACTTACATGAAATAATCGCGCAGAGCGCGATTAACAACAGGCTCCTCATTATTTCGCTGCCCCGATCCCCGATTCTAGTATCCTAAAACAATGATTTAGAGAACGTCACACAGCTCGCAATTCAATGTAATTACTTCTTCCTCCTTTGTACTTTTTCTTACTATAGTCGAGAACTCGACGATGACGCGCAATTAGAATGCAATATATACCGTACCTATTGTAAACGGAATGGAATGATAATATTGACGAATTGTTGGTTGGCTGGCAACTGATTAAAACTATTAGTCACAGACACAGAGCGAAACCGTGGGACACCTCGAACTTCGAACACTGTCAAATGACTAAAAATGAGACGGAGTTCCTATATTGTATATATGCTCGTAATGCGAGCGAAGCGAGTATATATATATATAGTGTTCTCTTCTTCTATTCCAATACTTTCTCCCTTTATCTGCGTTTATTCAATAGCGATTGGTTGGATAGTCAGTCGGCAGGAAGCAAAGTTAATGGTCCTGCAAATTAATAGAAACTTTTTAATTACATAAAGACTTGTCCGAGGAAGATCTTAAAAATCTAGGATTTCATAAAGAATATACTATTTTAATACAGTCGCTGCTATGTATTTTTGATATGTAACAAAGTCACTTGCTACAACGGTTTCCGTGGTGTAGTGGTTATCACATCCGCCTAACACGCGGAAGGTCCCCGGTTCGATCCCGGGCGGAAACATTTTTTGTTTCCATTTCAATGATAAACTTGCCTTTATACTTATCATTATTCTCTACCTTTCTTTCAATTTTAATAAAATACGACTTTATATTAAAACCAGAGATCCTAGAAACATGGGCAGACCGTTCATAGATGAAAACTAGAACGGATAGGTGTATAGTCAGCTGGATAGTGGGACTGTACGTACCTAACTTCACGCGTAGACAGAATAACATAAAGAAAAACGATTTGATAATGTTGCAAAGAATTAATTTATATTTCTGGGACTTCCAGCTTTAATTTGAGTGGCGCTTCATCAAAATCCGTGTGGTAGAACTTGGAACATCAGAACTTGTTTTGTTGAACCGACCTGACGGGTTATAAGAAATGCTTGGCGATGAATTTCCGTTATAAATAATGATGTTACCGCCTTCTGAACGGTTTATTCACATTTCCGGAATCAGTCATCAATCATTTAAATATGAAGAGGATCGTAACAATGTTCGATAACCGGGAACTGATTAAACGAATACGTCGTTTGATCGACACGAGTAATTATTCTTATAGGAAAATATTACTATTATTCATCATTTTCGGTGGTGTACTTATGTATTTTGGGCCGATCATCGTTCAATGGTTGTTCAACTCTCCAGACGAATCTCCTCAAGGTAAATGGATTCGAATAATCAGTGCTCAATAGTCCATACAAATTAATGATTGTCAATGAAATTGCAGATTTCGAGGATCGTTGTTTGAACGATTTGTTATCACAATACCAACCGGGCTCTGTCGAATATAATTTAAATATTCTTCACGATCCGCTGAAATCGAACGAATATAATTACCTGCCATACATCGGCAACGGAGTGTTCGGTATTCCCATAACCTTGGATTCTGTAATTCATATTAAGCAAGGGAGATCGTTGTCGTTGCCAGTGCAATTTCAACCGTTCGTCTATCATTCTATGAGAGAGAATGAAATTTACAGAAAGGAAGCCAGCGTCGTGGATTACACCAAGGGAATCGTTTATGGCTATCAGTGTATCAGAGAAGGCTATTACATAGAATCACAGTATTATGCGAGTAGGGTCATGGAGAATATATTGATTCAGGAGATACAGATAGTAAATACATTGACTGTGAAACAGAATGTAAAATTGGATAAGCAAGAGACGAAACATTGGAGCAATTCAAGGACTGAGATTATAAAGTAAACGTTGCTGTCATTATTAAAACGAACTATACTTAATACAGTTCTCTCAACTAATATTTCTATTTCACAGGATCCAAGTGGATGATTTCTCAGAAGAATATAATTTAATTTCTGGTTACGTCCCATTGAACAATGTAAATAACAGAATAATAGCAGTGTCGATTGCTTACAAATTACCACAAAGAACAATTCAATTGAAAGGAAGAAGTACAGTAAAAATGAGATTTTTTACTAGTATAGAGTACAGCGAACCAATCAGTATGGAAGACTATGGCAATTACTATGAAATTACCAAGAAGAAAGCCATCGAAGTGAGTCGCATGTGTTATTATCGTTGAAAATAATTATCGTAGCGCTATAAGGTAAAGG